AAACCCTAGAGCGTCATCTTCTTCGCTTATCCTTCAGTTTTTCTGCAATCTGAAGCCACGGAGTCTTCCAAATTGCTGCAATTTGCCTCCTTAGATTCACCGAGAAAATCAAAAGGCGGCGACACCGAGAACAACCATGGCGGACGTTCTGATAATGAACGAAACAGAGGCCACAGCCGCTCGGCTTGGCATTGATCTCTCCGAAGTCGATTATGACTCTATTCGGCTCCCGCCCGGCGAGGACTTCGGCATTATCAGGTACCCTTTTATTTGCACTTATTGGTTCATGTTTTGTATTCTCGAATAGTAGCTTATTAGCTCATATCTGGTAGTTTTGCCGCTGGTGGGGTGCTTTATATAGTTGAAGTTGCAGAATAGGGAGAATATGGGTTGGAGTTTATCTCAAGATAAACTTTGATTCTAAGTGTTGTTTCTCTTTCTTTCCTTTTCTTATTGCGTAGTGATGATGAAGAAGTTTATCAAGATGAACAGTTGGAATTGGACTCTAGTTTCGGGAACATTGTAATTGTTGATAACATCCCTGTGGTTCCTCGGGAGAAGTTTGAGAAACTAGAAGTTGTTATTCGCAAAATCTTCTGTCAGGTTGGTGTCATCAAGGAGGATGGAATTGTGATGCCGGTTGATCCTGAGACCCAGAAGACCGTAGGCTATTGCTTCATTGAGTACAGTACTCCTCAGGTGTCTCTCTTTATCATCTATGTGTTCTTGAATTTGGTGTCAAAATTTACTATTTCAGATGCTAAGTTTTGGTGTATTCTGTAGGAAGCTGAGGTGGCTGCGGAGAAAACAAATGGGTACAAATTGGATAAAGCACATGTTTTTGTGGTTAACCTATTCACTGAATTTGAAAAGTTCATGAGAGTACCCAACGAGTGGGCTCCTCCTGAGAATAAGCCATATACCCCTGGAGTAAGTATTCTTCTTCCAGTCTGTCCAATGTATTTTGATGTGGTATACATTCAAAGTTAGGAAGGTTCCTCCCTGGATTTTTTATTTGAAGCATTATATTCTTAAATCATGATGTCGATATTCAACGTTAGTAACCATGCCAAATTTACATATGGGAATTGGGTATTGTTATTAGTTGTTGGATTGTTGCAGTTTCTTACCAATTCCACTTAAGCATCTTATATCAACGGGATGGAATGGTGATCAGAAATCAGCTTATCTCTTATTGTGCATGTGCTTCTTATTGGTAGCTTCTTATTAATCAAGTTATCAAATTTGATATCATTACAGGAAAATCTTCAAAAGTGGCTTACTGATGAAAAAGCTCGCGATCAGTTTGTCATTCGTGCTGGGACAGATACTGAGGTCCTTTGGAACGATGCAAGGCAAGCAAAGACTGAGCTTGTTTTCAAGCATACTGTAAGCAGCTTGTCTCTATTTCCTACATTATGACATGCTGTGAATTGATTTGTTTATTGTATTCATGCTTGTTTGTGTGGACAATTTTTTTATGCTATTAATGTTGCATCTGTGAAAGTGGATGTCTGTCTTTATGATATATAAAAAGTGCCAGGTGTTTGATTACATCATATTTCTTGACAGTACTGGACTGAAAGTTTTGTTCAGTGGTCCCCACTTGGAACGTACTTGGCAACAGTTCACAGGCAGGGGGCTGTTGTTTGGGGAGGTGCTGCCACCTTTAATCGCTTAATGCGTTATGCTCATCCACAGGTTGGCTTTGTGTTTTGGTTTAAATCTCCTCTACATCTTGTTCCTTTCATTTGTTCATCTTCAAATTTACTGATACACACTGCTGCTGCAGGTTAAACTTATTGATTTTTCCCCTGGTGAGAAATATTTGGTGACTTACAGCAGCCATGAGCCAAGCAATCCTCGTGATGCATATGTGAGCTTTATTTTATCCAACATTTTTTACTTAATCATATTGTTGTTTTTCACCCTGAGATTTCTTCTGAAGGAAGCTTAATGTCTTCAGATGGTTGTGATAAATATTTTTGATGTGAGAACTGGGAAAGTGAGGAGAGATTTTAAGGGAAGTGCTGATGAATTTGCAATTGGAGGAACTGGTGGTGTTGCTGGAGTCTCTTGGCCTGTTTTTAGGTTATTCTTCTTTTTTATCACTCTACGATAATGACATACAGTTTTCTGTAACAGTTTTTCTTTCTATTTTTTGTCATCCTTGTTAGTCTTATCAACTGGAATTGCTCCTTTTTTAGATGGGGAGGTGGAAATGAGGACAAATATTTTGCCAAGCTTGGGAAAAATATGATCTCGGTTTATGAAACAGAGACTTTTAGCCTTATTGACAAGAAGTCATTGAAAGTTGAAAATGTTGTGGACTTCTGTTGGTCACCAACTGATCCCATCATTGCTCTTTTTGTTCCTGAACTTGGTGGTGGAAATCAGCCTGCTAGGGTGAGTACATAAGTAACTTATGCTTGTTTGGAAAAGCCTTATTATTTCATGAGTTTAGTTCTAACACTGCATACTGCCTGTGTATTTTGCAGGTGAGTCTTGTACAAATTCCAAATAAAGAGGAACTGAGGCAAAAGAATCTCTTTAGTGTTAGTGATTGCAAAATGTACTGGCAAAGCAATGGAGAATATCTTGCTGTCAAGGTTGATCGTTATACAAAGACAAAGAAAAGCACATACACAGGATTTGAGCTCTTCAGAATTAAAGAAAGGGACATTCCAATTGAGGTTTTGGAGCTTGACAACAAGAATGACAAGATTATTGCATTTGCTTGGGAGCCAAAGGGCCACAGATTTGCTGTCATACATGGTGATAATCCGAGACCTGATGTTAGTTTTTACTCAATGAGGACTGCTAATAATACAGGTCGAGTTTCAAAGCTCACTACAGTAAAAGGCAAGCAGGCAAATGCACTGTTCTGGTCCCCTGCCGGTCGTTTCATAGTACTTGCTGGATTGAAGGGATTCAATGGTCAGTTAGAATTTTACAATGTTGATGAGCTTGAAAGCATGGCAACTGCTGAACATTTTATGGCAACAGATGTTGAATGGGATCCAACTGGAAGGTAAGCCCGAGATTTTTATTTTTATTTTTGGGTTAATTGTAAGCCTTGCTCTACTGGGTTGCGCTTGTCAGGATAGTGATTGTGATGAGTATCTTGTTTGCTTATGTAGGTATGTTGCCACATCTGTGACCTCTGTTCATGAAATGGAAAATGGCTTCAATATTTGGTCCTTCAATGGCAAGCTTCTCTACCGGATACTGAAGGATCATTTCTTTCAGGTATAACTAAAAGGAATTACTTTTTATACCTTTGATTGTTAATGACTTAATCATTTGCATAATTCTTATCCTTGTCACCTCTTGTTGCAGTTCTTATGGCGTCCAAGGCCACCATCATTCTTGACGCCTGAGAAGGAGGAAGAGATTTCAAAGAACTTGAAGAAGTATAGCAAGAAGTACGAATTAGAGGACCAGGACGTTTCAATGCTGTTGAGCGAGCAGGAACGTGAGAAGAGGAGAATGTTGAAGGAAGAATGGGACAAATGGATTAGCGACTGGAAGCGGTCTCATGAAGAAGAGAAACTGGAGAGACAGAAGTTGAGGGATGGAGAAGCGAGTGATGAAGAAGAGGAATACCAGGCCCGGGAGATAGAAGTTGAGGAGTTATTGGATGTCTCCGAGGAAGTTCTCTCTGAATTTTAGTCTTGATATTCTGCACACTAATCATCTCCCATCTCTCCAGTCTCCTATTTTCCAGAGACTACTGAGAGTAGTTTGATGTCCTGAACTGCCTCTAACGCATTGGGGGTTATCATTGTCCCCTTTTTTCTTGTCCATTCACCCCATTGAAATTTTGATGTGGTAGTAACTTTTTCTGATTTTTATTTGAATAATGGAGTTCTGGTTCTGGACAAGTTTTAGATGCAACAAGGTTGTGATTGCTAATTGCGCTATTTTTTAAAAAAATTAATCCCAACATCTTAAATCTTGCTCTATGAAGAATAGCCATTTTCCCTTGTATTGATCAAGAACTAGATCTATTTTTCCTTAAAAAATAGAACTATTTTTTTAATTATCTCAAAAAAAAAAAAAAAACTCTTTTATTGTAACTGTGTATTTATATTGATAATTATTTTTTCATCGGTGTGACCGTGTGAGTTCAACTTTAAATCCTTCAAATAAAAATTTAATTGCAAGCACATTTAACATTGCAAGTTCATATTTATTGTAAAAAAAAAAAAAAGGAAATTGCAAGCTCATATTCCTACCTCTCTTGCTCCAACTTGAATAATTTTTCCTCTAACGTAGCAATGACATGTCACTGGATTGGCATGGGGGACTAAATTAAGGACAGATATGACTTACTTCTGTAAAAATTTTGGACCAACTATTCAAGTGACATGTAGGTTAGGGGTTACATAACAAACTTTATAGGTTAGGGGGCTAAAACCCTCCATAACACATATTTTAGGTTGGAGGGCGCAGGTCGGTAAAAGTCTACTTTTAGTTCTTTACTTTATCAAGTTTAAAAGTTTTATCATTTTATTTTATATTATGATATTTTTAACCTCTTATCTTATTAGATTTGTAGATTTTAACCCCTTATCTTATATTATGATACTTTTAACCCATCACCTATTAAAATTGAAAAAAATAATCCTCACTTTGTAACATTTTGTTAGTTCTGTTAATTGATTATTAAGTCTATTAACTGACTGTTAATTGATTGTTAACTGACAAAAACCTTATTTTAGCTATCTAAATTAACAAAATTAATTTTATAATATTTCATTAACTCTATTAACTGACTATTAGTTAACTGTTAATTAACAAAAAATCTACTTTTAGCTAACAAAGTTAACAATCAGTATAAAGTAATGACTATTTTCTTTAATTTTAATAGCTGAGAAGCTAAAACCTATAAATCTAGTAAGATAATGGGTTAAAAGTGTTATAATATAAAGTAAATGGTTAAAATCTTTAAACTTAGTAAGGTGAGGGGCTCAAAATAAGTTTTTACCCAAAAGGTTAACCTGAGTCTATTTTAACACAATTTTTAATAATAAACTTTTCTTTCCATACATTTTAAAAGATAAATATTTCTTCTAACTCATCTTATGGTACTCAATAATTTTTTATGAAAATTTTTTATGTAAGTTTATTATAAAATTTAGAAAATTTAACAACCTAAAAAAATTTTAAGTTTTCTAACAAAGGTTACAACTTCTATATAATAATTTTTAACTTTTTTGTACAGTATTTTTAATAATTTTTTTAATTTATGCTTTTAAAAAAGTGTAATTAATATAATATTTTATAATTAATTTATATAAAAAATATAAATATTAATTTTAAGTAATTAATTAATTAATTAAAATTAGTTACATATCAATAATATATAAGAGCTTTTTAAAGTCAAAAGCTCAATTTTTACCATTTTTTATATTAATAAATAATTACAAAAATACATTTATTATACTGTGGCTAGTGGCT